AGCCATAAAGAAGAATGAAATTATGGCATTTGCTGGTAAATGAATGGAACTGGAGACTATCATGCTAAGTGAAATAAACCAATCCCAAAAAACTAAAGGCTTAATGTTCTCTCTAATATGTGGATGCTAAGCACAATAAGTGGGGGGAGGGAAAAATAGAAGTTCATTGGATTAGACAAAAGGGAATTAAGGGAAGGAAGTAGGTGTGAAGGGTATGAGAATAGGAAAGATAGTAGAATGAATTGGACATAACCTTCCTATGTTCATATGTGAATACACCACCAGAGTAACACCACATCATGTACAACCACAAGAATGGGAAGTTATACTCCATGTATGTATGATATGTCAAAATACATTGTACAGATATACATTAAGTATACCTAAAAGGAAGAATAAGAAGAAAGAGCCAGTGAGAAGCCCCTCAGTCAGAACTACAGCCTGGAAACAGAAATAGAAAGTGCAATTGGAGATGGGCCCTGAAAAGGCAGGCAGTCCCGAAGACAGAAGTCAGAGGGTTGTGGTGTATCACTGAAACACCGGAGGCGGGGTTGGGGCCTAAGAACAAGGAAGTGAAACCAGGAGGTGTCCCATAACTTGAATGACAGAGACAGATTGATGTTCTCAGTGAGGCTGAAAAACAGGCTGAGCTGATGAAGTGAATCAGGGCTGCACAATAAGATGGCTGAGGGCAGAGAGAGGGTGAGGCAAGGTCTGCCACCCAGGAAGAGGATAATTGCACCAGGAGGGTGTGACTGTGGGAACCAAAGGGTGGTGGAGATGAAGCAGGGGCAATATGGCAAGCTAGGGAGAGATTCGGATGTTGGATGGGTGGGCCATTGGCAGGGTGTTGAAGGTGACTGGAGCAGGTGAGGAGAGACACCAAAGCCACTGGTGAATGTGGGAGGGTCCCTGCGGAGTTAGATCAACTGGGACAAGGATGGATAGGGGCAGCCCAATGGTGGGAAAGAGCAAACATCTCCCAGATAAAGGTAAAATAAACCCCTGAACACCAGTGCGGAGACAGGGGACTCTCAACACCAATGCCTGGTCCTCAGAGACAAGGTGCAGAGGAAACTGCACTGTCCACTGCAGAGGGTGGTGATGGAGGTGGGGTGTCATTCCAAAGAACGTGTGTGTGTGCAGTGTTAGAGATCAAACCCAGGGCTTGCACATGCTAGACAAGTGCTCTATCACGGAGCTATATCCCCAGCCCTTTTAAAAATGTTTTATTTTGAGATAGGATCTTGCCAAATTGCTGAGTCTGGCCTCAAACTTGCCATCCTCCTGCTTCAGGCTCCTAAGTAGCTGAGATTACAGGTGTACCATACCCGGCAATAACAAAAAAAAATTTTTTAGATATTTTTTTAGTTGTCAATGGATCTTTATCTTTTCACTTATTTATATGTGGTGCTGAGGATCGAACCCAGTCCCTCACAAAAGCAAGGCAAGCACTCTGCCACTGAGCTACAGACCCAGCCCCAGCAAAAGAAAAAAAAAATTGAGACTTTCTAAATACAAGACAATATCTTAGTTGGGTAGAAGAAGAAGAGAATGAGTTAAAATGGTAGAAGTATACCACTTTAACCTGCTTTTTCATCTCAAAATATAAATGTTTTTCTATATGAATTGTTACTTTTTTTATAACATGGTTTTAAATTTCTGCAAATAATCCATGGAATGGATATAGCATAATTTAGTTAGCCAGACATGTATAAAGAAAATTTATAATGTTTATAATTTTTGCTCTTTTAAATAATGCCATGATGAACACTATAAACACCCTTATCTTTGGCAAGCACACATACACACACACACACACACACACAAAATGCTAATAAAACAGCATTGCATTTCATATATTCCTAGTGGTCCTTGGAGCCTTGTGGCTTTGGGGTCCAAGTGCAGGGTGGGGGATGGGACACAGGTGGGAAGAATTGTATATGCTTATATCAACAATATTTTATAAAAATGAGTATTTGGGAAATTGATGTTAAGAGTGCTATATAGGTTTCATATATAATCCCATTTATTATTAAGGATTAAAAATATAACTTACCTGCTGCCCCGTCCAGCACAGGCAACTGAACCAAAGTTACTCGTGTGAATTTGGGGTGACATGAAAAGACCACACAGACATGGAATACCTTTTTATAAGCTTCAGGACGGCTTCCCTGGTTCCAGACCTCAGGCTACCACAAGGGGGGCAAGAGAAAGTCACGAGAGGCTGATAGAGACGGGGGCGCACGTTCTGGAGCTGGCTTTTAATGGGGGACTCTGTTTCTTGGAACATTCTGTCTGAAAAGGGCAAGCAGTAGGATTACATAGGAACAGGTGAGTGTAACTCAACCCCACCAGGTAACGCCTACTCCTGGAGCCACGCCTCATTATCCAAGCGGAGGTAAGGCCCAAGTTATTGCGGGAGCGATAATTATTCAGTATCTCTTGCTCAGGACTTGAGGGCGTGTATTTCCAGAGCAGCTCCTGACCTGTGTTTACTGCAATTCTAATTCCTAGGTGACTGTTATGAAGGAAAATGAGAGCGATACAGGGATGGAGGGCAATTTGGATGAGTCGTGGACCAGCTAAGATGTGGACATACAAGAGAGTTATATTGTATGAAATTCTGAACCATACAAATTTTAAATAGTGAGAAACTAAAATAGCCACAGAGTCTCATCTGATATGCAAAATTTGAAACAAGTTGATGATATTATGAAAATACAGGGCAGCCTTAAAGAAAAAAAAAAAAAAAACTGCTGTAAGGGCCATAGATTTAAGAACTTCATCACTTATCTTCCAAACCTTATGCTTATGACTGGGAAGAAATTATCCTAAAATAATACACATTTTTGATAATGCTCAGTCATTAGCTATGCATCATTTAGAGGAAATAAACCACATAGGAAGCTGTTCTTGGTGAATTCAGATGAGGAAATTCTGGAGATATTTGGAAATGCAATGCTGGAATTTAAGAGAGCGGTCCAGCCTTGAGTCATGAAGCCGGAAGTTGTCTGTGCACGGCTGTCAGTTTAAATCATGAGAAGGGATAAACTTGTGAAACGGAGAGTACAGATTTAAGAGGTCGAAATCCTAATCTTCTGAAGCTACTAAATTTGATTACAGGAAGAGATAGTAGTGAGGCAGGACCCTTCCTGAGAACCTAGAACGTGTCAGGACATTTCCCTGCATATATTTTGTAGCATCTCATGTAATCCTCCCAATATCTCTATGCCAGACTGTTGAATACACCTGGTTGTGCAATGAGGCCAGAAAGAGGAGGTAGGCACAGCAGCTCAGCCCAGGTTTTGCAGGTCTCTCCGACTTCACTGCTTCCTTGAGAGGCATGGGATAATTGCATGGGTGAGACAGACAGAAAAATCAACAGGCAAAAATATTAAGATAGAGTGAAGTTGAGGTAAGTCAAATGAAATGAACCAGTGTTCCCTGCCCAGGTAAATGGTTCCATCCTCCCAGTTAGCAAAGCCACAAATGCTGGAGTTGTAATTTTTCTTCTCTCTTTCTCACATCTATATCAAATCCATTGGTAGGCCCTGGAGTGCCACCTCCAAATTACATCCTCTCTTTATCACATCTGCGGCCCACTGCCTAAGACCAAACTTTAACCAAAATTTTCTCAGTTACTTACTTCTTGCCCTCTGGCTACTCCTGCTCAGCTACAAACACTTTCCATACAGCTGCACAGGTGCCAAGGGAATTTGATAAATCACTAAACACTGATACATCGTGGTTCATTGTTGGGAGTTTATTGTTAGAAATGTCTTGTTCGTTTCAGAATGCTTTCCATCCCTGTCCTCTGTCCTCTAAATGTCAGTGGTGTCCCAAGTGAATGCCTCTATTCACTTCCAAATGTCTCCCCAGGGGATGGTGCTTCTGTTCCATCCCATCCCATCCCATCCCCAGATTGAGAACCATGGAACCTCTGGTTCAGTGTGGCCACTACTGGCTGCTGGTCTCACCCTTTAAAATTCTATCTGGAAGGGCCCATCACAGAGGAGGTTCAGAACAACCTCAAGCTGATGGACAAAAATTGAAATTGTGTAGGCATTACTCTTTAAGGGGGACTGTTTATTCTCTCATGCCATTGAGCACTTAGATAATGTCTACAGATTCACTTGCCCAGGGACCCCTTCTCTAAATATACCATACACCAGAGCTTTCACTTGGATTCTTAAAACAGACTGGCTAGAAAGCTGCATTATACACTGAGTGTGTACTAAGAAGATATTTAAAACATAAATAGTGAACAAATCTAATTAAAATGGGATTCCTGTGCTATTCCTGTACTAGTTACAATACCTTCTTACCTGAGTATTGGAGAAAACCAGTGGTTGATTTATCTGTACAAAGTTCAGGCACTTGGCTTCCTTTAGCAAGATTGTCTCTTCTGAATGTAAGGAATTTTTTTTTTCATAAGAAAATGGTCATATCCTAGGGTTGGGAGCAGATCCTAGTCTCACTTTTCCCTGTATTTGGCACCAAGATATTTGTTGTTTTCTTTTTCTATTATCAAGTAAATTTGGTGAGGGACACTTGTGTTGTTCTTGGGATAACAGACCCCATACATAAGCAGACCTGGGATGAAGTAGGCAATAATCATGACCATATTTCAGTTTAGAACCTTCTCTATTAAGAAAGGTCCTTCAGGCATTTTTATTAATAATCAGATACAAGTTTGACAAGAGCACCTTTCAAAGTCACAGTTCCCACTGTTTTTATGAGGTCAACCAGAAGGCAGAGAACTTAATGGTAGTGGTTTATCATGAAGACAAAGACAATCAAGTTGTCAGCCTATGTCTCTCACCCTCTCTGCTTCTATCCTCTGAGGCATGAAGAGAGGCTGGAATTCAAGATTTGATGTTGATCTAAACACATGTGGCACTTGCTTTGACAGCAGAAAAGGCCCACCCATGCCAGACCTGGACAAAATGGTGGCTATGTTCTCTGTGTCAAACCTTCCCATTTCTACTGTGTCTAGCCTAGATCTTGAAGTGTCTGATCCTGCCTGGGCATGGGCGGACTAATGGACCAGCAGCATCAGCAACACCAGGCTGTGTCACCTTGTGTGGTTTCCCTGGGTGGAATGCTTCTCCTGAGGCTGACTCCACTGAGTCCACACCTGAGAAGGCATAGCGCAGGTCGTAATGTACCCGGTGTGACGGGGGTCCTCTGGGGGGTGACACCACCATAGGTCCAACCACCAGGGATGCTGCAGGCTGACCAGCTGGAAGGGATGCAGGTGTAGCTTGTTCCACGACAGCGTCAGGGGTTGCTACATTGGCGTCTGGTTGGGGCTGTATGACCACAGGCTGGAGAGAGGACCGTTTCCTGAGGTTAGCTTGCTTCTTCCTCCCAGTTTAAAGCCACCCACAGGTCTGGGTGGCACCTCCAACCCAATTTCCTTATAGTAAGAATTTTCATTTGTAAGGAATCTCGCAAACAAAACAACCCCCCCCCCCCAAATGTGCATATGTGCAAAGGATTCTCATCAGGTTTACAGGGGAGAGATAACTAGCCTATGGGGCCCCCAGTTCCACCAGGATTGTTTTGGTGGACAGTGGACTTCTACACACGTCCCATGAGTAAAATCACTCCACCTACAGCTAACTCGCAGTCTTTTTCACCTACGCCTTCAGCTACTGGGAGCTGTCAGACAGACCTACTCACCTGTTGTCCACAATTAAGAAACACAACTCCACCTCCCATACATGAACAAATGGCCTTGTCAACTACACACTAGTGTGGTTCTGCCCTGCAGCCACGGGTGCATGGGAGGGAAAGACATGGATGAATTATCTTTCCACGTATTGACGATTCCACATACCATATTACATTGTGAAGTTTAGAAGGACAGGACAACAAACACCTTGTCATTACTAACACGCTGCATGCAGGTTAAGGGGATCTCTGTATTCTGAAGATGTAAGAATATCCATGAAGTTGTTACCTGCGTCTGGAACAGAGTGCAGGTCACTGCAACCTCTTCTCCACCAACCTTCTCGTTGAGCGTCGCCTTACAAAAGCCATATTGCTGCCCATAGAGAGAGGGGAGTCATTTTAACCGATATTAAAAAATGGACTACTTTTTAATTTTTGTATATATTCTTTTTAGATATACATGATAGCAGAGTATATTTTGAGAAAGTGATCATATTACGGATTGTCTCAAAAATGTTTAATTGTCATTAATATTCATAATTATTACAATATTATAGAAAAATGTTTATACTGAAAAAAATGGATTTCCTCCCTAGTTTCACTGGCACTGAACTACACTGAGGCAAAGAAACTTAAAATTTTAATTTCTTTAAAAAATCTTCCTAAAGTTTAAAGATTCTGTATATGACTCATATACTCCTATATATGCATACATTTATACATATACTCCTATATATATAATGCAGAAAATAAAGAAATGTTATGAGAGAGAAAATCACCCAAAATCCCACACATAAATAGTCTGACCCAGCAAGAACTACTGTTAATATTGATATATTTCTTTCTAATTTTACATTCTATTAAACACAACTTAAAAGCTGAGCTCATTTTGATTCTACCATTTATGACCTAAAATAATAGCATTTTTTCATATCATTAATTATCTTGAATAATTTTCTATTTATTAATGTGCCATGTATTATTCAGTGGCACCCTTCTATTGGACACTGAGATTTTTCCTCCTTTTCAGTCACTTTTATCTATGATAAACCATTATTTATATGTATGTATATATGTATACATATATATACAACCTCTGATGATTTCTTTAGATTAAATTCATACAAGTGGACATTACTAACTCAAAGACTTGAAAGTTTTCACACAAATGGTACATCTAGGAAATCTACACATCACACTTCCAACAGCTGGGTGTGACTTGTCTTCATTAGGAGATGGCTTCTGTCTTTCTCCTACCTTCATGTGCCTCCAGTAAATGAGATGATTTTGTGACAGCTCTTAAGGGCAGAGGTGAGACCCCAGAGAAAGATCAGGCATGATCCAGGCCCACATTTCGCATAGCCATTTTCTTCTTGCAGCCCCAAGATATAAGTTACATAAGATGTTCTGTCCTATAATCAGCTTTGCCTGGGTAGCAGCAACCTCAAGTCCTGGCCCACTCACCTTTTCTGCCAGCAGGTTGCATTTGGCTGGATCTGTGACTTCTTTAGCAACACAGTCAGTGGCAGCCACTGCAAACTCCACATAGGTAGAAACTGGGAGAGGCTGATAAGAATAAATCAAAATGCACTTGAGGCAATATGACTTGAAATGAAAAGGGCAGGGAGAGAGAGTCATGGCAACAGGACAACTTCAGGGAACACCATTCACATAGACCATATTTTGTGGTCCTGGAAATAAGCCCATGCATGGTTGATGGGACAGCTGTTGCGGAGTGTGCTCTAAAGTGTTTGTACTACAGAGGTAGGGGTTGGGTCTTCCCCGAAAGAGGAGCAGGCGTTCGCTGCCCATCATCTAGGACAAAGGTGAGTTTTCAGACAGGAACAGGAAGTCACAAGGCCTCACTCAGACCGCATGAGTGGAAACCCTGCCTCACCCGGCCTTCACTCTTGGGGCTGCACTAAGGTTTGGGTTATTCCAAGATGGGGTGGGAAGGTGAAGAGATAACAGCCTCTCCCACCTATAAAGTGGGATCAAGTGAAAATTTTTAGATGAAAGCATGGAAGATACTGCTTGTGTTTTTCCTTTTTATAGTACTTGAAGTCTATGGACACTTACAATAATAACATGTCTGTTATTTGGTGTAGTCTGGGATGAAAATGTTCCAAGAATCACATATTATGGTTAACAGAATCACCACATAAAGTATTTTTAAGTATGCCATAGCTGGTATACAAATTACCAGGTTTCTTAAATATTAGAATCTGGTTCCATTCAAATATGCTAAACCATCTGTAGTACAATTGGGTGTTTTTTTTTTTGTTTTGTTTTGTTTTGTTTTTTTGTGGTGATTCTAAAAGCATTTTTAGAATCTTACCATTATATACCTATAAGTAGCCTCCTGCCTTTGTAAATATTGATTGCTAGACTGTTGCTAATGGTGGTGATGCGTGGTAAACCTGTGGATTTACAGTGAGTGTGTCTGGATAATATGGGAACCTCCATCTCCTGAACATGGACGCTGGTTTTAGCTAGAACGAGAGAAGATGCATTGTGCCTACCCGCAGCGTCTGGCTGCTTCATGCTAGAGGGTCTCAGGCTGGTGGAAGCGAGGTTTGGGGGTCTTCATGACATTCCCAGTCCTCATACCTCAAGGAGACCTTTTTTGCCTCTTTCCAGCCAACACACTCCTTGCCTTCTGGCTGCTGTCCTTGCACCTGTCCTTTCCTCACCCCTACTTCACCACAAGTGCCACCAAACTGCCCAATCTGTCGAAGAGTCTGTTTACCACAAGTTGAGCGCGGGAAATTTCCAATAGTTGGTAATAGGAGCCGTTATTCTGCGCGTTGAAGGCGGCCAGAGCGGCTTCTGCAGCGTGCACCACCCTGGTGTCATTAAGCGGGGCCAGCAAAGGGCAGTTCGGACACACCTTGCGCACGTCTTCCGCGGAGTCTGCGCAGAGAAGGGAAGGTCTCCTAATTTTCCAGGGCATTCGCTCCAGCTCCACAGACTTAGAAAGGGGTAACATACGCTGCAATGGCTTTTAGGCTTTATCCCTGCTTCCAGGGATAAACCTTCCGGTGGCTTGTGTCATGCTGAAATTTCCGCAGGAATCCCTGTCACTAAGGGACAATTTTCACCTCCAATGAGAACAGATCCTTAAACAGTCTTTAAATCTCAAGATCCAGGAAGTTTGGCTGCTCCTTTTCTTAACCAACCAAGTGACCGAAACTACTTAGGATCAAAACTATTCAGATTCCTTCCCCTCTCTACAAGGTAAAAATAATAAGAAAAAGAAGCATTTGTACCTGGGGTGGAATCACATTTTGCAAACATTACGGAGAACTTGCCATCCAGTTTCAGCACATGGACCTTACAGTCTCCTTCCACAGCCTGGTGAAATAAACCCAGAGTGAGGGCCCAGGAGCACTGCTGGCCTTCACTGTCACCGAGGAGGAAGGGATTCCTCTGCCTCCGCCCCCAGCCCGCCCCACCCCCACCCTCACGCCTTGGTTGTCTATGGTAACCCTCAAAAAGTCATCTTCACGGGGGTGATTTTGAAACACTGTACTCTCCGCTTTCAGGGAGGGCTACATCAAGGAGGCTAAATTGTAAAAATCAACGACATGGAAGGTGGCGTTCAATGCCAGTTTTAGAAACTGCATACTGGCTGGACGAGAAGGTAGGCTGGGAAGCCGGATAGAATGGGACCTGCTCTTTTCTGAACTGCAGTGGAACTGGATGAGGTATCACAACAGTCACCATAAGAAGGGTACTCACATGCTGGGCCACCTGCCTCACGGAGCAGTTTGCCAAAGGGGTGGGGTCCAATGCATGGCAGGTGGTCTCCAACGTGTCTATTTCAAGTTCATATACCTCTCCGACTGGCCGCTGTGGAGACAGAATGACGCCTTGGTTGTCTATGTCTTGGTTGTTTATGGCCCATACATAGACCATGTTGCGCCGGCCAAAATGAGAGCCCCACCCCCTTGGGTTTGGGCCCTCCCCCACTTTTGGAGAGGGGAAGGAGAAGTTATTTTTACTGCCAGTCTCAACTCCAGCTAGCCCTCAATTGGCCTGGGGGCAGGACCATACTGTTTTTCTGTTCTTCCTCCATTAACTGGGCAAGAGAAATGGGCTTGGACAAGGGATGGAGTCACGGTTCTCACTTTGAGCTCTATTTGGAAACTAAAACTGAGTTATGATACTTATTTTTTAAATTAAAAAAGTTCACCTTTCCAGCAGTGCTTTGAAAATTTTGGGTTTCCTTAGTCGAGATGCAAAGTAAGGTGGCGTAGATGATAGCTTACTGTTTTCTCTTTATTATCTTTCTCCCTCCCTATGCTTCGTTTTCTCTTCCCTTTCATCATCTACTTTCCCTCCTTTCCCATTTTCTTTTCCTTCTTCAAGATTTTCGTTGCTGTAGTCCTTGGCTTTTCCTTGGTCTCTTGGCTAGTAGATGTCTGGGTGCACAGACGCTGCTCTCTGGTTCCCCTGGTGGTGATGAGAGGGAAGAGCCAATCTGCACTGAGAGGAGGAAGCTGTCCTATCACCAGCCTATACACCTAAATCTTTGGAGTTGTTCTGTCATTTCACCTGATTATGTATTGTTTTTTCTTGAAAGCCTGGAAAAATCTAAAAGACCTGGAAAACCTCATCCCAGCTCTATTTGCCTCTTATTTCAGCTCTGCCTGACTTGCTAATCACTGGAACCTCAGAATCTTCTCCCCTAAAGGATGCTCTGCATTTTATGATATGAAGGTGTGTCCAAAGTAACTTCCTGAAACGATTCAGAACTACAGTGACTAGGACCCGGGTAGACTTAGTACCCTCAAGCTCTGCCATTAGTGAAAATCATAATGTCCATTCATTGCTTTTTCCCTCAAATGTGCATGCTGTGTTCTTGTTTCCCCTGTATTGATCAGAGTCTCCTCTGAGTCTTCATTATACTTTAATATGGATGCAGAACTTTTAAAATTTCCCTGGGGAAGTCACGATTTCAAATATTTTCTCCTTTTTTGAAATCAGGTATCTGTTATCAGTGCAGACATCTTGATGTTTACCTTGTTTTTTTTTTCCTAGATTGTAAATCTTCTATGGCCACAGACTGTTTATGTCAGGTTAAACCATATCAAATTGCCATTTTTATATATAACAAGCAGCTAAGTACTGGCAATTTTAAAGGTTCAACTGAATATCTCCCATAGTACCTGACACTGGTTCTTGCTCAAGGAAGGTTTGAAATAATGTTTGCTGGAAGAATTACCTTAATCAGATGTGAAATCTAGTTTCAAAACAGATAGTAGACAGATACCCTTTTCCCACCTCTCCAAATCTTTCTTTTTTATATATATATTTATATTTTAGTTTTGGGCGGACACAACCTCTTTGTTTGTATGTGGTGCTGAGGATCGAACCCGGGCCACACGCATTCCAGGCAAGCGCGCTACCACTTGAGCCACATTCCCAGCCCCCTCTCCAAATCTTTCAACTGATCTCCAAGGTATATTTTCTGGCCTGCTCTTTATTGTCATTGGCTCCAGGCTGTGTTGGTTTCTTGCTGGACATAGGGAGCAGTGAATCCTGTTTATGCCAAGACTTCTCTCTTTGGGATGTGAGTAACTCTTTCTGGGAGGCAGCTTGTAAAGAGGAAGGAACCTAGATATGAACCAAATCCCGGTCTGAATGCTTATTAATTATATGACCTCGACCAAAAATTGACAACACGTCACTCAGCGCCTTCATTTCCTCTTCTATAAGACAAGGTCAGTGCATCTACCATAAAGCACTGGAGCGGGAAAGGAAGCAGTTAAGGAGGTGAGCTATGTGAAAGGGCTGGCATATCGTAATAACATCTGTCAAATGCTAGTGTCATTCATTCAGAGACAAACAGAAACCAAGAAAGGTAAATTGACTTTTAGTCAATGATAACTTGGCAAATAGGAGCCAATATCTTGGGCCCTAGTTTTTCTAGCAGGTCCCACTTTTCAACTGTCATCTGCCAAATATCCTTCAAAGCTTTTTCTTATCCTCCATCCCACTTCGACCCCCCACCCAGCAGCTTCCTTGAGATCCATGACTGTGGAACTGAACATCTCCTCTCTTGCCTTCCATCTGCCTCTTCGTTTTTACTGCTGGGAAGAAACAAGAGTTTCCCCACTGCAGCTGCATTTGTGCTGGGAGATGCTGGTCTTTTGAGGTACCAGGTTGGGCTGCACACATAGGTTCTTTCAACTTGTTCACAGCAGGTTCACTTACCCTAGACCACACCTTCACTTTGTCGATCTGGTTCAAGATCTGCTTGTATCCCTGAAGAAGGAATTGATTGATATGATCCACAGCTGCCAGGGCTGCTTGCTCTGTTTCTGGGTCATCACAATTTGGTTCCCTATAGCCCAGTGGACCATGTGGGGCTGAGTGGCAGCCCCAGAGCTGAGCAAGACAAAGGAGCAGAATGAAGGACTTCATGGTTGCCCCAGAGAGGCCCTGGCCAGTAGGCAGATGGCTGGAGGTTTCAGGACAACTCAGGTACTCTGCTTAGAAAGCTAGACCCACAGAGGGGCGGAGGGCTTTATTTATCTGTTGAAGCCTACTGAAGGAGTTGCATAAGGACGTGGGACGATTTCAGTTCTGGTTCCAAATAACCCCTGCAAACACCAGCCTTGGAAAAGCAAACAAGTTAGGACATCACTGGTCCCCAAGAGATCTGCCAAAGTCAATGCTTCTGTGGGGGAGATGCTCCAAAGTCTGCTTAGAACACGGTGTCAGCAGCAGAGAAAGTAGACAGCTGAGGGAATGAGGTGGACACAACCAGCCCCAGAGGGCAGTGGGGTTGGCACTAGAGGGAGTGTCCTCTACAGGATTTGAGCATGCCATGGGGACCTCAAGCAAGGAGAAGGGATATTCAGTAATTTGATAAAATCCTCTAATGTTGGGGGATTATCTCCCTTAAGAGGGATCCTAGAGAGAGAACAAGACCCACAGATACAGCAAAGGGACAGATGAGCTTTTGGGAGAAAAGAAGGAAGAAAGAAAAGAAGGAAGAAAGCATGAGATTTTTGTTTCAAGTAGAGGACAGAGATGACAGGAGGGGACCCCTAAGGCAGGGAGGGATATGGCCAATGGTGCAATGTAGGGTTCCCTATTCCCTTCATCCTCCTCTCTCCAGACCTCACTGGCAGGACCCTGCCAGTAACAGAAAGGACAGGCACTGACCTGCCTCTCCTGGGTGGCTGAATGTGATTGGCACCCACAGCTGCATGATCCCAGCCAGAACCCGAGTGCAGCAGAGCACGGTCGTGACCTAACAACCACTCATTTGATAAAGTTCTGGATGTGAGTCCACATGCTGAGACACCCCCAGCTAGGAACACAAATGCCCATTTGGCACCCTTTGCAGCCTTAGCAGACAATAGCATGTCTTTGTGGCCAGAACCCAGGGCCACAGTGTTGATTCCAAGTACTGCTTTTTAAGTGGCCCCTGACAATCCTAGGTGTGACCCCCAGGGAGGATGGACATGATGGCGAGAGGGAATTATCATATAAGGACTTGGTATAACCTGGAGCCAAGAAAACCAAACATAGAAACCAATGTGTTCTTCAGATATTTTGAGGTCATCATTGTGTGTGGGTGGATTTGTTCTGTGATTTGATATTGCTTTGAGGGGGGGAAAATGGTTCACAAGAAGAAGAAAAGAAAGGACCAAGTAAAGGGAAGTTTAATTATTGATTTGCAAGGGTAAGGATATGGGGTAAAGGAAGTAGAGGGTGGTGACAGGGCAGAAAAGACAGCTGTGAAGCACCATTTTGCATTCACTTCTGGCCACACACATTCATTCAGAATCGTAATGCAGAGGCTCTTGGAAATGAGGTACTGGCTCTTAGAGGCTGGGGGAACAGGTTCCCGTCATACAGAGAGGCCAGCTTCCCATCAGCCTATACCTGTGTTATTGGGCTATGCTTTTCTTTAAAAAATACCAACTATGGTCATTACTGAGTATTTGAAAACACTCAGTGAGTTAACATTCAATAAGTCATACAGACATGTATGTATGTGTAACTTTATTTTTCACAACTCAATTGAATTTCTGACTCTGAGCCCTTTTTGTGTGAAAATTTAAACTAGTCACTTCCAGGTAACCTGATTTCCCAGACACTTGGATTGAAACTCAGTCCCATTTAGGATTGCTTGCCCTCCTCCTCTGTCCCACATTGGGGGTTAAAAAAATATTCCTGGGTGGGAAGGGGTGCATTAAGCACAAGCCCCTAAGAGCAGAAGGGCTATCCACCTTTGCCTCTGCCATAAGAGCCTGTGTTGGCTTCTGCGAAGTGACCTGACTCATCTTATTCTCAGACATGTCTACCTGGCAGGTCCACCTATGGAGCTAGTGTCCTGCTTGTCCCCTTATAATCCATAGCAAGACAGTCTTCCCTGAAGCCATTGATTGGGGATTCCCATTTCAGTTGTGAGAACCTTTCGAGACCAGGCCTTCTCTCAGCTAGGTGCCACCCACTTCTAGAAGCCTGGGAATATTTGGCCACTGTGCCCACACAGGTGTAGGGGGCTTCATTCAGCTCATTCTGCTGGGACAAGCCATGCAGTCATGGTCTCTACAGCGCCGTGAAGTCAGCCTGCTTCTGGGAGGGGAGGGGGCTGCTTCCTACAATGTAATATCTCCCTGCTCAAACTCCCTGCTGCTCCAAACACAAGGAAGCTTTGGTCTCCTCTGCCCTGGGATTCCCACAGTTGTCTGGGGTGGTTCTATTGCCATCCCAACCTGAGGGTTCCAGGGGAAAAGGAAAAGTTCTGTATGATCCTACATCCTGTCCCATTCTTTCTGTCTCAGGCATGGAACATTTGGTTCAGTCCATTTGTTCTTGAATCTTCCTTTGGTGACAATTTCTAAATAAAGCATTAAGTATTCTAGTTGATACTAGAAAAGTAAGGCAATTAAGAGCCATTAATATCTCATTGGTTATTCTAAATATCTAAATATCTAAACACATATAAAAAGGAATACAAAAATCATTCTCTGTCTCATCATCCGGAGATGAACAGTGTTCATGCTTTGGTGTGCTTCCATCTTGTGTTCTTTTATGCAAAATATTATTTTAATATGATTTAGATCATAGTGCATGTACACATTTTTAGTTTTACTTTATTATTTTTAATTTGATCATAACTTGAATATTTCCCCATATTATTAAATAGCGTTAAAACATGCTTATAATGACTATTATTCTGTTGTATATCTATATCATCATTTATTTAACCCTTCTCTTATTGGTGATATTTAGTGTGTCTTAATTGATCACTATCATATAGAAAGCCTTAGGAATTGCTGGCATTCTAGTGGGTTCTTTTTTTCTTTTCTTTTTTTTTCAGGCTAGATTCTAGAAGCAAAATTATTGATTCAATTGATTTGGGCATTATTAAAGTTCTTGATTTCTATGATTACATTGCCTATCAGAAAGGTCATTATATTCCTGCCACTTAAATGGTGTATCTTCTCTCTTTTTGTTCTTCTCTGTTTCCTCTGCTGTCTTTGACTATCCTCTAGCAGGAACTGTGCCTGTGCTGGGAACTTCCTATGTAAAGGTTCAGGTAAAGACTGCCCAGTTGCTACGGCAATGCCCTGCTTAAAGGAGGTTCTGTGTTAGGCACAGGACTTGATCCTGAGTTCAGACACCAGCTGCCAGGGGCAGAGAATTATGAGCACAAGTTTATCATGATAATTGGCTGCTAGTCTTTGACCTTCCATCCTTTCAGCTTCCTTAGGAATGTTGCCATTTACTTACTGAAAATGAAGAAGAAAACAGATGATATTTTGATATGTCTTCCAAGATAATGGCAGCATTGGTGCCCAAGGGAGGTACCAGTATTTTTCTGTGCCTGTTGACACCAGATTCAAACTGTAAGATTTTCACATCCTGAATGCGTATTCTCATGAGTGATCCTGGGTCAGTTTCATTCAATTGGCTGCCACTTCTTTGAATGCCAATGGCTGATGGGTATTTACTTCATTTTCTGGTCATTTGCTTCATTCACTATGTTAATTACTCACCTGTGTCTTTTTTCAATGAGGCTCATATCACTGCAGTATAATACTACCTTTGGCATTCACATTATGGCACAACGTGCTAAAGGTGGTTCGGGGAAGCAGGCCCAAAGGTCTAGGGAACAGAAGAAGACCAACCATCTCCAGGAGATGGCAGCAAGGTGCTAGGCAGTGCCACAGATGGCAGGAATCTTGCTGAGGATGCCGCAAGGGGCTTCTGAATTTGTCAAAGGAGCTCTTTACCAGATGTCACCAGGATAGGTGATGCATTTGAACTACTCCAAGGCACAGCTCAGTGTTTATAATTGTCAATCAGGAGCCAGGTCAAGAAGGATCACCATAAACTCAGGGGCAGAATTTTCAGAGGTAGTTCCATTGGTGACTCTACCAGTGGACACAAATCCAGGAGGAGAAAGAGCTAGAAAAGAGTAAAACATCAAGTCAGGCAAGATGAGAGATGAGAGCTAAATACACATCTCTCACAAAACAGAACACAAAAATGAACATGTCAGCAAAAGCCAGAAGAATGCTTGGTGTCTACAGGGAGGGAACAGCAGAGGTTGGCATAGATCACTGGGCGGGATTCCTGGCTCTACCTTCCTGGTACTTAAAGGGCCTCGGCCCTGAGAAGCCTGATTTAATTTCTGATAAGCCTGATGTTTCTTCATTCACATGATTTATTGAGCATCTACTATGTGAAGTTGGGTTGCTGGATACAGAGTGATGAGAAGACATCTTTTGTTCCACAATTTCTGATCAGAACTATCAGTTATTACACAAAATTATCATAGAGTTATTAAATGAATTATAATTATAATTATAATCTGGAGACAGATTGGGATTTATTTTTCCAACATAAAACATCCATCAATGGAATACAAATGACCCTTGTCCAAGAATCCATCGAGTTTCTGGAGTGGATAACTTAGCACTGATTGCCCTGGAAGTCATTACCCATTAATCTGGAAGAACCCTTTGTATTGGTGCCAAATGTCCACAGTTGGAAGACATGGGCCTGACCACTGCAAAGCAAAAACATCAAGTGACTGACCAGGAGGTGACTGCTCCCTGGGGGGTGGAAAGCCTCTGCAAGGCTTCCCTGAACTTTGTCCCCAGAGGCATGATCTGACTCTGCCAGCCTAAACCCTGAAAGGAAGCTGCATTTGAGGCCATAAAGAGAAGAGCACAGCCAGACTAGATAGGGGCCAGGGAGGGCAGAGCTGCAAGGTTGGAGGAGGCCTCCCCCTTGGGGTCGCTTCCCCTTGGGTTCTGTGCCTTCAGTTCTACACCTCTCCTTTGCTGCACCCTAGTCCTGGCCCTGGGGAGGAGGCATGATATGAACTCAGAAAATTTTTTTAAAAGTTTACACTTGAGGGGCTGGGGATGTGGCTCAAGCAATAACGCGCTCAC